CTAAACTGTAGGGTCGTGTTGTAGGATGCGCTGCAGAGGTTTTCAAATCAACCGTAGGACGAAATGTATCCATGACGCCAACTGGTTGCTCATGTATCACTCTACCCTCGAAGAACCCATAACCAGTGGATTCTGTCTTTACATCCTGTACGGTGTCATAGGGTAAAACTGTCTTGCTATAATCATCTGGATTGTGAATCATCAGCTCCTCATTCTTGAAGCGTATATTGCTGTAGCTATTATACATGGTATTTCTATGTCCAGATTGGGTATTGTGATCCGAGGAGCAGACGTTTTTCTCTCCGTCATGTAAGTCATTGGTTGTAATCGAGTTCAAACATTTAGACTTCTTTGAACGTCTGTAAAATTTGAAGTATACAACCTAATACAAAATTTTAATAATTAAAAAATCAAATCTTTAAATTAGTTTACTCTAAATGCATATTTTTTGGAAAGAAAAAATATTCATTATCATATTATCATAATTACATTTTACATATTTCACATCTCCGGATTTCAAATTTACAAAACGATTTAATTGACATTTTTTTTTTTTTGGTTCCTGTGAAAAGGGTCAGCTAAAAATTTGCATTACACATTAAAATTTTCTATTAATTTTGTACATTAATATCGTGACAACAAACCTCCAACAGCAGGTCATTACAATACACATTGCAAGTAAAAGTAAATTAGAACCAGAAAGGACCAACACGATAACAGCCTGGGTCAAAAAGTTAGGAACACTCTGATGAGAAACTGTCTTGTCTATCGTGTTATTCCCATATACTTTATCTAAAAAAAGGAGAATATATTTAAGAACCGTTTCTGATATATTATAACAAACTACAAAAGATGCTTATTTCTCACTTTATTGGATGAAACAAAAAAAGAAGAAACTCAGGCAAACTTTAGAAAAATGTTTGCTTGCCATCCCCCTGACTGAAAATATTGAGTGGGTAGGTAGGTGAGAATTTTATTTCTCAGAAAATTTCAATTTCATTTTAATCATTTGAATTATATATTGAAACGCAAAAGAAACGCAACACCCTACTTTAGGGGGAAATGATAATGTTAAGTAAAGAATTTTGTATCTTAAAATTATGGATATCTTCAATTAACATATAATTTAACAGTTTGTGAACGATTTTCATACAATAACCGGAAGTCGAGTTTGAGCCTGCTTAGCAGAAATAAAAAATGCATGTTTAACAAAACATTTGGCAATATCATGGAGTTTTAAGTCTTTGTACCGTTCATCTTCAGTAATGCAGCAATATTTCAAAAAATAGATTATCCTTTCGTTTCCTGTAATGATGCCAAGGCTTCTTGAAAATTGCTTAAGTACGCAGTTCCATTGCTTTAGTGGAAACTCTCAAAGTAAAGGTGATGGAGAGTTGATGATACAAAAATACACTACATTACGCCCCAAGGGTGTCTTACGTACTATATTCATAAATGATAGTATTTGGACCGGAAGTCCAAGGGTTACTACAATGTGCTAAGTAAGAGTAATTTCGACCTAATCATCTGAAAAACAAGCATTTAAAAAAGGCAAAGAATAATCCCTTCGCTCAGATCTCGATATTGATTTATAACCTATTGTATCGTAGAAATTAAGCTGCAATTGTAATTGCAATTGTTAAGGCAGTATTGCACCTTGTAATTGAATGGCTGGGAGGGGGATGTTTTAAAAGTCATATGTTTCTTAGTAAAGTTAAAAGAAAGACATTTAACATTTTTATCAAATATCTGATGTTCTGAAAAGTGAGTTTAGCCTTATTGTATTCTTTCTTTAAATCATAAGATAAAAAAATCCAAACATTTGTAGATTACTGCTTGTTGCGTTTCTTTTGCGTTTCAATATGTTTCCAGAGTACTTATTAAAAATAACTGCTTCCTGGATGTCAAACAAAGTTTTGAGTCGGGTCATCTTTAAATACTTATCGGGAGAGGGCAACGAAACACTTTTTAAAAGATTATCTCAACAAAATATTTTGTTTGACCTTCCAGCTGGTAAATAGTGATTAACTATAACCGATCAATTGGAGAAATATTGAATTCGAAAAAAAATGTTACGTGCAAACTGTTGATGTCAAGGAAATCCATAAAGAAAATGTTTTTAAACAAATGTATTTGCGTCATCTTAACCTCATGATTCTCATTCCCTGTCTCCACTGTCTCGCCTGTATAACTTGTATAACTTGTCTCACCTGTCTCCATTGTCTCACCTGCCTCCACTGTCTCACTTGTCTCAAATGTCTCCCCTGTTTCACCTGTCTACACTGTCTCACTTGTTTCACCTGTCTTACCTGTCTCCACTGTCTCACTTGTTTCACCTGTCTCCACTGCCTCACCTGTCTTACTTGTCTCCACTGTCTCACTTGTTTCCCCTGTCTCCACTGTCTCACTTGTCTCACCTGTCTCGAATGTCTCACTTGTTTCACCTGTCCCACTGTCTCTCTTGTCTTACCTGTCTCCACTGTCTCCACTGTCTCAACTGTCTTACCTGTCTCACTTGTTTTACCTGTCTCCACTATCTCACCTGTCTCTCTTGTCTTACCTGTCTTACCTGTCTCCACTGTCTCATTGTTTCACCTGTCTCCACTCTCCCACCTGTCCCCACTGTCTCATCTGTCTTACCTGTCTCACCTGTCTCCATTGTCTCGCCTGTATAACTTGTCTCACCTGTCATACCTGTCTCCACTGCCTTACCTGTCTCACTTGTCTCCACTGCCTCACCTGTCTCACTTGTCTCATCTGTCACACATATCTCCACTGCCTCACCTGTCTCACTTGTCTCATCTGTCACACATACCTCCACTGTCTCACCTGTCTCACTTGTCTCCACTGTCTCCACTGTCTCACCTATCTCACTTATCTCACCTGTCTCCGCTGTATCACCTGTCTCACCCGTCTCGCCTATCTTGCCTGTCTCTCTTCTCTTTCCTGTCCCACCTGAGAGACATCCTACGTAGGGGTTGCACTCTTCACCCAGGGAACAATTACAATGAAGCAAACATTTTTCACCATAATAGCCAGATGGACATGGAGATGAACAATTCTTGCCAAAAAAACCAACACACACTGCAGCAAAATATTTTATTCCGATTAGTACTATTAACTAATTAAGGTTTTTGATACGATTTTTTTACCACAAGACACAAGATATTTTATTTACCAATCATGGTCACCGAAAGGCATTTCAACATGCAAAAATGCAGCACAATTAAACATTTTTTACAATATAATATTTTATAAACAGTTATATAAATTGCCTATATTACATTGTATTCAGTGCTTAAACAATCAAATTACTGAGACAGTACTGAAAGACGGGGTCAGAATAATCTATAAAGATAAGGATAAAGTTAGATTTCACAAATGTGATTTTTTTAATGAGTTTTAATAACAACTCATTTTTTCATTAACATACTAAAAAACAATACGGTAATAATATACATTCACATTTTTCATTTAATATTTAATTAGAAATTTTAATAATTGCTCAGTTTGAAAAACCTCTCTGAACTGATCCGAATTTCAACGGGTACGAATTGATATTTTTCCAGAAGTAAACAATGGATAATGCGTACGCGGTCATAATAATAGGCAGGATAGTACTTTGTTTACTAGTGTGATTTACATTTAATATCTTCAATTTAAATTATCAAAATACTTTATTAGTTTTTGTTAGAAAAAGATTCATATCACTTTCTTCAGTTTGATACAGTTTGATACAGAATGTTTATGTTTTGATCAAAACAATTTCTGCACTCTTTCATACGCGTAGATTTAATTCATGTGTTACCACCATGGCTTCCGTTCTGAGGCTTCTGACGGTAAACTAAAAGATGGGGTTTAAACATATCTCAATTGATTTTTTAGCATAACAGAATGTTGTTCTGGTTACCGTACAATCAATCTTTCAAAAAGTTATAACCAAATTCTCATTTGATTTTGTCTGATAATTCATGAGTTATTGAAGCTCAAATGACGATACCCCCCAAAAGTGAAAATTGAAAACTCTCATTATCTTCAATGTCTCCCCCGTGCATCTATCAGAGCCTCATTTCTCCTTTGCATGGAATCTCCTCAGTGTTTATCTTTCAAACCCTGGCCATATTTGGTATGGGTAACCACGCAAAAAAATAAGTCAAACGGCGCGCGCATGCGCCAGTGAGAACAATACAACATAAGTTGACCGGCTCAAAAAAAAATTGCGGAATTGTTTTCTTTCAAATTTCGTATATGATTATAATCGTCTACTGTATAAATGGCTGTTTTTGTGGTAGCAAGGTGGCGATTTAAGAGATGGCAGGACGAATAATCCGCTCGTAACATGGCTCTGTTTCGCGTTAACGTCATCGTCAAGGTTGATTGAAAACCATTCTAGAGCCTCTCTGACAACGGGTAACAAGTTTTATGGGGGAAAATTTACAAGAAACTGCTTAGTAAACTGTTGTTGCCTTTTTCATTAATTAGGCAAATCGAAAACAAGACCCCATTGAACTTCCGTAAACTATGCCAAGATCGCAAGAAATTTATAATGTCTCTTAATATTGAAAAACGATGTGCATACCTCATATGCATCAAATAATGCAACAAGATTTGTTGAAAAACTCGTCGTTATCAAATTGCACGTGTTTTGGGCTTTTTAGCGTTTTCCCTACGTGTGTCATAAATTTTGAGGTGGAGTAATTCTGAATACTGATTTTAGTGCACAGTAACTAAATTTATCTTCTGACCAATTTTCGTAATTTTCGGTCATGTGGTCAAAATTTTTTCGAACATTATGTTACCCTGCGTTTCTTTTTCCTTTCAGTATATACATAGTTTTGAAGTGAGCGGTTCTGGCTACTTCTTACAAGTTGACGAGTGACATGCCTTAAATACTTAATATATAAATACTTACTTTTTACTTTGGCAAATATTCTTTTCACATGAAATATTTCCAAATTCAAAGACTAACACCCAAATAAATGACAAAGTATAAATATCATCCATAATAAACATACACTAATGGTTTAAAACTACGATTATACCGCATGTATTCCTTAGAATATATGTTCTTCCTCGTTCATACTGAATTTTTGTTTTTCTAAATGTCCTGTGTGAGATTTCCTGCTTTCTAAAAACAGTATACAGATAATCATCTCATTATCATTGTAAGACATGAAAAACTGGTAAACCTGGCGAGACTACTGTCTAGAGCTTGTACATCCTTCCTTGTTATTCAAAATAATACATTACATTTTTCAAGTAGTAGAAAATAGAAATTGTAATTAATCATATGACACAACATACTTGATTAGGAAAAAAATCACAATTACAATATACATAAACACAGTATCTATAAGCGTGAATGCACTGGTCGGTGAAATTATTTCAAAGTCCGGGTTAGTAGTCTATTCCATTTAATAATCTGCACTGTTTATGACTAAAAAAGAAATTTAGGTAAATATTAGTAATAATCTTGAAAATCTTGCCTTAGGTGTGTACACAAAAGCCGTAAGTCCAGCAAAACGTAAGGTTTTAGACCTATAAGGCAAGTCCTACCGTGTGTACCGGCCCTTAGTCAGACTTGTAACACTCAAAAAAGCGTGCATTAACGATTTGCACACGGTAAGACTATAACAAGTTCCATGACTTATAAGGCAAGCCTATGAATCCTCTGATGACTTTCAAACCCGCCGAATGCATTGATCAAGTTGACAGAACATATGGTAATCAAATGTAATCCAAAAACAAAGCAAAAACAAGTCTTATGAAACAAGCAAGTCAAAATATGTATACCCAGTGATAAGTTATACTCCATGGCACATGCCTCTAATAATTTGGAGATCCTTTCTTTTTTACTTTGCTCCTATTTTGTATTGTTTTATGGACTTCTTGAATACTGTTCGTTATCTCCCTATGATTCTTTGCTAAAACGAGGTCAAAATAAGACCAGAGAATTACGAAATTCTGACTTTCAACAAGGTTTTTGAAATTCCTGTAAATTATCTGCCAGGTGCCTGCCCTGGTTGATACTGGAATATGTATTAATAAATAATGAATGTTAATAGTGGTAAAAGGGAAATCATCTCCTTTGTCATGAAATTTAGTTGTTAGTTCGCCTTTAACGTCTTTAATTAATAATACTACTAAATACATATTCCTATATGAAAGAGATTTGGCAGACTCTGAGGTGTTTTTTCTTTCAAGTTCACTTTAATTGAAAACAGTTATGATAAATAGTTGTTGATATATCTGAATGTCGTGTAGAAGAAGCGGAAACATTTTGAATAAATTCTTCTCCACAGGAATATAAAAATATGTCGGCTAATATAAGAAGGCAAATAGGGCCAATCAGGATTTAATATGTTTTTGTGGTCCTTGTTTGTCAGGTTCCTATTCATTATTGTTCCTTGTTTGTCAGGTTGCTATTCCCTATTGCTCCTTGTTTGTCAGGTGCCTATTCCCTATTGTTCCTTGTTTGTCAGGTTGCTATTCCCTATTGCTCCTTGTTTATCAGGTTCCTATTCCCTATTGTTCCTTATTTGTCAGGCTCCTTTTTCCTATTGTTCCTTGTTTGTCAGGTTCCTATTCCCTATTGCTCCTTGTTTGTCAGGTTCCTATTCCCTATTGTTCCTTGTTTGTCAGGTGCCTATTCCCTATTGTTCCTTGTTTGTCAGGTTGCTATTCCCTATTGTTCCTTGTTTGTCAGGTTGCTATTCCCTATTGCTCCTTGTTTATCAGGTTCCTATTCCCTATTGCTCCTTGTTTATCAGGTTCCTATTCCCTATTGTTCCTTGTTTGTCAGGTTCCTATTCCCTATTGTTCCTTGTTTGTCAGGCTCCTATTCCCTATTGTTCCTTATTTGTCAGGTTCCTTTTTCCTATTGTTCCTTGTTTGTCAGGTTCCTTTTTCCTATTGTTCCTTGTTTGTCAGATTCCTATTCCCTATTGTTCCTTGTTTGTCAGGTTGCTATTCCCTATTGGTCCTTGTTTGTCAGGCTCCTATTTCCTATTGTTCCTTGTTTGTCAGGCTCCTGCTCCCTTTTGTTTCTTGTTTGTCAGGCTCCTTTTTCCTTTTGTTCCTTGTTTGTCAGGTTCCTATTCCCTGTTGTTCCTTGTTTGTCATGTTCCTATTCCTTATTGTTCCTTGTTTCTTAGGCTCCTGCTCCCTATTGTTCCTTGTTTGTCAGGCTCCTATTCCCTGTTGTTCCTTGTTTGTCAGGCTCCTATTCCCTATTGTTCCTTGTTTCTTAGGCTCCTGCTCCCTATTGTTCCTTGTTTGTCAGGCTCCTGTTCCCTATTGTTCCTTGTTTGTCAGGCTCCTATTCCCTGTTGTTCCTTGTTTGTCAGGCTCCTGTTCCCTATTGTTCCTTGTTTGTCAGGCTCCTATTCCCTGTTGTTCCTTGTTTGTCAGGCTCCTATTCCCTATTGTTCCTTGTTTCTTAGGCTCCTGCTCCCTATTGTTCCTTGTTTGTCAGGCTCCTGTTCCCTATTGTTCCTTGTTTGTCAGGCTCCTATTCCCTTTTGTTCCTTGTTTGTCAGGCTCCTATTCCCTATTGTTCCTTGTTTGTCAGGCTCCTATTCCCTACTGTTCCTTGTTTGTCAGGTTCCTATTCTCTAATGCTCCTTGTTTGTCAGGCTCCTATTCCCTATTGTTCCTTGTTTGTCAGATTCCTATTCCCTATTGCTCCTTGATTGTCAGGTTCCTATTCCCTATTGTTCCTTGTTTGTCAGGCGTCTATTCCCTGTTGTTCCTTGTTTGTCAGGCTCCTGTTCCCTATTGTTCCTTGTTTGTCAGGCTCCTATTCCCTGTTGTTCCTTGTTTGTCAGGCTCCTATTCCCTGTTGTTCCTTGTTTCTTAGGCTCCTGCTCCCTATTGTTCCTTGTTTGTCAGGCTCCTGTTCCCTATTGTTCCTTGTTTGTCAGGCTCCTATTCCCTGTTGTTCCTTGCTTGTCAGGCTCCTATTCCCTATTGTTCCTTGTTTGTCAGGCTCCTATTCCCTTTTGTTCCTTGTTTGTCAGGCTCCTATTCCCTATTGTTCCTTGTTTGTCAGGCTCCTATTCCCTACTGTTCCTTGTTTGTCAGGTTCCTATTCTCTAATGCTCCTTGTTTGTCAGGCTCCTATTCCCTATTGTTCCTTGTTTGTCAGATTCCTATTCCCTATTGCTCCTTGATTGTCAGGTTCCTA